AATTAAACTTAAAAAAGGACTTTCTTTTAAAAAAAAAATTCCCTGTATTTAAAAATTGAAGTATTTACTCAGAAGTATTAATTGTACAAAATAGCTACAAAACTCATTTAAGTGTTAGAGTATTAGAAAACAACTATTTTCTCTTGTACAATATGTGGAAATAGGATGACAAACTCATTTGGACAAGTACCAGAAAATGTTTATAAAAAGATTATATACAATTCATGAGATTGTAATCAATCACAATATTGCACAAATTTTCTGAAAACACAGGTAATTATTATGAAATAGGTAATACTTATTTGATGTGTAGCTAGCAGCATTATTTTATAGCTTCTTTTGATTCTAGATATGAGCAATCCAGTAGAATTATATTTTCTTTATATCAGTTACAAAGTTTGATCATCAGGTCTTTGCGGCCAAAGATTTATTTGTTTAATCTGTTCAGTAACCATGAACTGGGAAGACCATATTTCCTTTTTCTTTTACTATTCCACACTTTGGCAAATTCAACTATGGAAAACAGAAGATTTACTGATTTAGAAACTATTTACTGCTCCATCATCAGTAAATGTGTAATTACATGAAACTGAGCAGTCCTATTTATAGTATCTACAGGAAAATAATTATTGACAGGTCAAAATCTTGTCACCTTTGGGGTATGATGCAATAAAATGGTCTTCAGTCCTACACTATAACTTAGGATAGACCACTAAATGTTTTATCAGTAACTGGGACTGTGAAGAGAATGTGGGAAGTAAATATTGACATACCTAAACAACAATTTACTCTAAAAATATATAAAAGGTAATAATGCAAATTATCCTGCTAAATGCCACAAAATCTTAATACGCAGAAGATAAAAATGCAACCTCAAGAAACATTGCAACACACTCACAGCTGCATGTCTGGTACCATGGAAAGGTCAGATAAGGTTAGGGAAAAAGACTTAGAATAGAATTTTTTAAAGTCTACCCCAGTGGACTTGAAAATCAGTAAAGCAACAGGCTGAAAATCCTTGTTAAGTGCTGCTTTGCCCTTATTTTCATTTCAGCTTATCCACTCCACGTTCTAAACCTGCTATTCATCTTGGCATAATGGTACTAGTAATACTCAGCATTTCCAGGGATCTCTTTCAAAATAGCTTCCCAGATCGAAGGCACAAATTGATGCTATCTGATAGCTTCTATTTCTTGTTCCTTAAGATTATGAAAAATGGTATTTTATGTCAAAAAAAAAATTCTGGTTTATTTCTGTAATACATATATTTTCATTTGTGGCCAAAATTCAAAGGAGATGGTGTGATTTTTATCAGTCAAGAAGAAAAATAAGACACTGTGCACAAATACTCACTGTAATGTTATCCAGGAGTTTGGCCATATGCTTAATAATTTCACCATGGTGTGCTGGCTGGGTTTGCAGCAGTTTCTTAATGACAACAACACTTTCAGCAACTACAATTTCTGTTTAAGACAAAACAAATTATTAATTTTAAAAGCATTTATGCAAAAGAAAAAGCCATAAATTGATTGTAAAAGATGTTACGAGCTTTCAAAATATGCTTTGCAGAACTGAATTCTATTTACTTGGTAAGAAAGATGTAAACCACTCTACTAAGGAATACAAGTTCAGCGTTCAGAATAAAGTTATAAGCAGCAAAAAGAGGACAGAGAAGTGTTCTATATGTAAAAATATCATCCTATTACATACTGTTTTTTGAAATAGCCTTTTAGTAAAGCTGCACTTTGTATTTTTCCTTTTCAAACTGAGGAACAGCATGAAAAAACATCTGTTTTCATTGAAATTATGCATATTTGTAATTTGCTGTCTGCATTAAAAATACAAACACTTGTTTAATTTTCAGAGAAATATAAAACATTAAAAGTACCAGCTCATTCATAAATAAGAGAAGTATCGAAACATTTTCTTTGCACTTTTTTGTCTTCCAAACAGTCTCTCTCAGGTCTGTAACCTAATCTCCAGTACATTCAAATGAAGCTTCTAAATAGCAAGCTGTTGTAAGATTTATGCCAAAGTCATGCAATGGAGTGCCTAACTACTGTAACAAGTAACATTCACAGCCTGATCAACTTGTATGAAATGTACAATTTTTGAAGCTGAAAAAAACCCACTGGTGCAGAGGTGAGCTTCTATGCAAGAGCAAACTCATGCTGAAAGGAAATATGAAGTCAAACACGGCCAAAGCTGAAACCAAATCAAAGACTACTGTAAGAGTTCAACATAATTCTAGTTTTCATTTATACTACAAAAAGGAAGTAACTATTTCTCCTCAACTATCAGCTAAACACTAAAAACAAGAAAAAGCCCAACTACCATCACAGAGGTATTCCTACATTTCAAGAGTTAACCTGACACATGGACCATTTATTCAGCAATCAAGTTCCAAAAGAACGGTATGAGGAAGAGATGTCTATTTTTTTTTATTTATTTCAAAAAGCAAACTTCTTTATGGAGAGAAGCTTTCCAAAAGCTCTGAGTATGCATCATTATGCCATAAGCCTCTGAAATGTTTAAATTTTAGCTTGCAGCTTTTTGTGTCATCCTTGATTTGACATGACATGTCCTTCATTTTTCTAGACTAATTTCTTGAAGCAAGGTTAACGTATCTATTTCACATATCTGAAGGTCTTGCACAAGCCTACAGATCAACTTAATTCGGACTCTGTTTTGCCAGATATTAAAATAAGATGACAAATTCAAAATTTAAAAATTACAATCTGGAATATTTAGAGTGGGGGACATTATAATGACAACCTTCATTACTGAGTGTTTTGTGATACTACTTAACAAGGAAAATGGGTAAGCAAAATAAAACTGAACCCAAAAAACTGGGTGGACATGAAGTCATTACTAAAACACTTGTTGATAGTGTAGAACTGATCATGATAAAATGAAGCGCAGTATATGGAGTGCCACCATAAGAACTACTTTAATGCAGTCTGTGGGAACAAATTTAAAGAACTGAACCAGAATTGTATTACATGAGTCTATATACCAAAAAAGAAAAGTACAAATAAAAGCAAAATGAATTTGTATACAATAAGGACTGACATAGTCCAGAAAAAAAAAGAGAGGCTCTTTGAGGCTTGCTTTGTGCTTCAAGAATCCCAAATATCAGCACGAAATAAAAGACACACGTTTAGGTTCAAAGACACAAAAAAAAAGGGGGGGGGAGGTAAAAATCGGCATTCTGAATGAGCAGTAAAGTAATTTGAAAATGTAACTCTGCTAGAATTATCAAAGAAAAAGTGTATACAAGGCAATGCTAAATGAACGCAAGAACTTCAAAATAGAGTGTAAATTATATCTAAAGGGTCATAAAAAGTAAATCAAAATTTTAAAATGAAGACTAAATATCACAGAAAATCTG